AGTGATTGATATCCCTTCGGTGTTTTCACGCTATAAAAATTAGCCTCAATGTGAAATTAAATTTCATATATTATGTATAATATATTTTGTCCTATGGTTTGTAAAAATCGAGTTTGGCATGAAAAATGTATATATATAATTTTCGTATGTTGGATTTTGGAATGTGAACTTTTGTGAAATATGATTTTTGTCTAACATATGCATATATGATTATCTTAGTAATTACATATGTAAATACTTAATTTGAAATAAATATGCTTTTAATATGCACGATATGTGTTTTGTGAAAATGAATATTGTTGTTTTGTGAATTTGAGTAATTAAAAAATATATTTTGTTTTGTCTTCTAGTATAGCTATGTTGTGATCCTACCAATGGGGGTTAAACGTTGGCCATGTCAACATGTATTATGTGATTAGAGATCGATCTCCTAACCACACCATCAACTACAAAATAATGGTATTTGTGATATCTGTTTAGAGTAGCCCATAGATACTTTTGATATACTTATGACTCATGCCACTTGAGTTAATTGTGGTTTCAATATGATTATGACGCATACCACTAGGGTTAAATGTGACTTCTGTTATGATTATGACCTATGCTATAGGGGTTAAGTATAGCTATAGTATATTACGGGAGATCATTAAAATCTATAGTAATTGTGAAATCATAATTTATCCATTATTTAAAAATTTTGGAATTAAGATAGTTCTGTTATTTAAATTAGATTACCTAAAATTTTGTTTTTGATATTTATATGACAATAAAAATTTTTGGCCTAAATGTTTTGTGCATGCTTAACCCGGTTGAAAGGATGTTAATCACTTGCTGGGCTGTTAGACTCACTCATTCCTTCATACTTTTTTTTTTCAGGTTGTGATTTGGTCAAACACGTGAGAAACTTCGGGGAGTGATGTTTGGTAGGTTAACATATGGTGTTAGTTTGCTTCAAGATTGTTTAAAAGTTATGAACCTTTTAGCTACCCTAAATTGTTATTTAGGATTTTATCTCAATATCTTAGCTTTGAAAATTATTATATTTCATAAATATATTTGACCCTTTTTAGTTAGTTAGTTAAGATATCTGTTTTAAGTCTTGCATATGTATAAAGTTATATCTTGCAAGTATGTAGCGTCTGTTGTGTCTCAGATTTGGGGCGTGATAAGTTTAGGGTGACGAAAAAAGATTTTAACTTCTGCATATCAAAATTTTTAAGTTTTTTTCTTTTCTGTCAAATATTGAATTTCATTAAATATCAAAGTGAATTTTATTAGATTTTTCTTATAAGAGCATTTGTGTCTTAAAATATTTATGTAATATTAAGTATAATTTTTTAACTGTTGGTTAACAGTATTAACAATTCAAGGACAAAAAGTATCATTTTAAAACAAAAGGGACCAAAATGTTTTTTTGAAGTTTTTTGAGGGAGCTTTTGGATTTTACTTGCTATTCCTTTATATAGAGAATCTCTAGTCCCACTTATTATAAGATTTAGGATTTATTATGTAGGCCTACACTCTTAAACCCACAGTTAATGTTGGAATTTAGCTCACTTTATTAGATCATATAATGAACTATAATTAAGTGATTTTATTAAGATCAAATAAGCTGTCTTTTATAAAAAAAGGTAAAATAAATTACATAATATAAATTCACACTTTATTTTTTAAGAAAATTTAACATTATAGTCTATTTCGTTTCTCTCTAATCTCTCTCTTCTTTTTTTCCAACAAAAAAAAACAAAGAGAGAACAATCAATCTTGATTTTTCAAGCATTGAATATATGTATAGGTGCATGTAGTTTCAATGGTTGCATATTAATCTCACTTTCTCGAAGTTAAAGAAACAAAATTTTGTACATTTTTTTTAATTTTCATGGAAATTTTTTAAAAATTCATTTTGGTTTATTTTAATTTCCAAAATAAAAAATATTTTTAGTCAATGTCATGCCATGCTAATATCAATCAACACAATCAACATGACGTCAACATCAATCAACATGGTCAATACTAGGTAAGTATATATGATGGACGAATTCCAAAGATGCTAAAAGATTGGATCACTATTAATAATTGTTAAAAGTATGTGAACTCAATTTATACAAATAATAGTAGAAAGAATAAATTTAACATTTTTCGTATGATATAAGGATTAAATTTAAAATTTAACTTTTTGCAACATTCTTTAGTTAGATGATATAGATTATAACTATCATATCTCAAGAAATAAGTAGAATAAAAAAGAGGATTTGTATATAGTTGCATAATGTTTGTGGTATAAGAGAGAGATATATATTGGTCACAATAAATTGGAGCGGAGTTAGTTAATTTTTGTTGAGGTGAGTCAAAGACAAAAAGAATAAGGACTATAAATTTGTAAAACTAATGTGTTGAACTTAACCAACAATGAAAAGATTCATAATAGATAATAAATTTATATAACATGTTAATCAAAATGAATAATAAAACAAAGACTTACAATAGTTTTTTGAAAAAGTTGTGCTCGACGATATTTTTTCCTATTCGTAAGTTAAAGCATTGAGGCTTGGTGGCTCAAGTATAGTAGATTCATTTGGATGATTTGCATATTTTTTTTTAAAGAATTTGTCAATTGCTTTCAACTTACTCATACTTTAATCAAACCTAAAAAAATTAATGCAATCAATATCCAATATTCCTATTTTATTTCTTCAATAAAAAAGTTCTTATTTTATTTCTATTTAAACTTAAAATGTTAAATATAAAACTACAATTCAAAAAATATAAATAGGTAAATACAATATATATGATTAATAATTTTTTCTTATATAATTAAGATTGTTTAAGGACTAAATACTCAAGATAATTTCGTCTTATATACTCAAGCTAATTTCCTTTCAATTAAATATAAAATGTAAAGCTCATAAAAAAGATATACTCAAAATAATTTTCTCTTATATAATCAAGATTAATAAAATTATAATATGAAAATTTAAGCAACAATTAACAGTGCAACATTATAACTTATATTTGAAAATTACATAATAAATTTTTAATTTTTAAAGACTAAAATGATGAAAACTAAAATTCACATAATAGAAAAAAAGAATATGACGAGTAAAAGATAGAACTCACATAGAAAAAAAAAATATGGTTGATGATTCGTAGAAATTTAAAAATAAAATTCTATAAAAACTTAGAACATATAAAAAAATAAAAAAATAAAAAATAATAGAAAGAAGAATATAAAAGAAAATTTTACTTCTTCTTAATTTCATACCATGGTGGTGAGTGTTCTTGTCCTTTTTTGTCCAAGTTGACAAACTCATAAGTAATGAGATGTGTTTCAGTTGTGGGTTACAGATAAGAGAATAAATTAAAAATAAAAACAAAAAGAAGAGAAAGAGAAAAAAAAAGAGAGGTGTAGACAAACGTAAATTAGAAAGAAGTTGAGTAAAATTTATGAGATTAGTTTATTATTTTTATTTGTACTAAATATTAAATAAAAAATTATTTTGAAGGATCATTAAAAGAAAAGAACATATAATATATAAAAATTTTAAAAAATCATAAAAAATTATATATTAATGTATAAAAAATTTCAAAATTGTATTACCCTTCGCCTCTGACAAGTAATATAAATAAAGTAAATAAAATCAGTCAGCTTATACGCAGTATCTTTCACATGTACTCTAAACAATCACAACGCCTTTCTTCCTAATTTAATGATAATAAAGTCAAATAATATTTGAGCTGCGTGGATTGCGGGGGTTAGGTGGCATTGTCCACTTTCTCATCTAGTAAGGGACTCTTGAAACCCTTCTGCTGATGATGCGCCCATTAGGCCACAAATAGCAGGTTATAAGCTGGTCCTAGCTTAAATTAGGCCGCTGACGATGTATAAATCACGACCATAATTTTGAGTCAAACAACCGTAACTCTTTATGGGTCTTGCCAGCGAAATATCTAAGACAATTCTAAGAGTCTTAGCCAATCAATTGTTATTTATTAATGTAAAAAATAATGATAAGAATTTCGCCCACATTTAAACCGTAACTCAACCGATCACAAGTTAATTTTAAGCTGATGAGTCATTTATCAATCCAAAACCCTAACCACCGAATTAAAATATTCCACCTTCCAGCAAAAATCAACCAAGATAATATCTGTATCATCTCCATTTTCTTCAAATAATTCTATCATCCACCTATAATTTGCTTGGTATTAAATGAAATTGTCATTTTCTTCTATATATTACCCACACATAATAAGTCAAAAGGATAAATGTTGTAACTAGGTAGATAGTTTTTTTTTTCAAGGAATTAGAAAGAAAGGATAAAAGAGATAATGATGTTGAAAGTCACTGTTCAAAAATAAAATTTAGATGCTTAATTATATTAAAAGTTGCCCGATATAATTGTAAATTATGTATAATGAATTTTATTGCAAAGCATACACATAGTACGTTAGTTTCTTGTTGTAAACATATGTTTTTAAGATTTCAAAAGATAAGTAGTTTCCCCTTAAGCTGTTAAACTTGAAATAGTTAATCGATTCCAAATAGCATCAAAAGAGAATATTGGGTTTTAGGCCAAAAAGGTTGATGAATTCAAGAATCATGATTTTGTTTATAAGAATTACAATAATTACTTGCATTCCAATAAAATGAAAGTAACAAAAGTTGAAATTACTAGTGATATCTTGGAATATCTACGAATATGTAACGAGATGATCGTGAAGTTTTTTATGCTATTCAGGTTGGTTTAGATGATCTCATAGCAAATATTTTTTTGACAGATGTAGGATGAAATTAAATCACAAGCATTTTGTAATCGTTAATGGGCTAGGAGAGCCACTCCTGTCAGTAGCGTCGTGGCGTTAAGTGTCGCTGGGAAAGCCATGGGTTACCAATCCAAGTTTTGGGGTACAACGACGACTCTGGGCAAGACAACCAATCGTGCGAATTGCCTGCGAGACGACCAAAATTGTTATAAAAGAGGCCCATGGGAAGAACGTCAATGGGTGGGACCATTACATCATGGTCGCAAAGTAGTGAGATGGTTGCTCAATGTAGTAGAGTGTCGTTAAGAGAGGAGAGCCATGAATCAGAGATTTTGTCGGTGAATATTGAATCATGGTTAAGCACTAAGACTTCAAGTCCTCTTGTGAGCTGTGTGAATTTTGGAAATGGACCTGTTAGAGCTGATGTGATCTCTTGGGTTTAAATCTTTAATGGTTTGAACTTGATGAGTTACCGTCAGAATTTGGGCAAGCAACGAGGTGGGCCAAACTTGTAATTCTTGGAGTTTTGCATGAAGATATCGGATCTTTTGCTTTGTTGAGCCTATCACCGTTTTGGACCCTAACAACCTTCTTCATGCAAGAATTTTAAAAGTAGTTTTGAAATTGCATGATCAGAGGCTCATATTTCCGATAGATGTCATCTTTGAAGTATGTTAAACCAAATACAATGATCTCTAAGCTTGACTTAAAATTGTTAATTCAAGAACCGTCATCTTAAATCACTTCAGTATCTATAACATGTCCATTATTTCCGTGTTTATCATTAATCCAACATTGACGTGGTCATTCATCATGGAGGTCAGAGGATATTTACCTGGAGAAAATCTTGTAATTATTGGGTACTGAAGGAGAGTTCTAGTTTCTGCTCTTCTTGGTTAAGATGCCTGCCAGCGAATATCTCAATTTTTGGCGTACGTGAAGATCCCAAATTATGAATCAACAAAGTTACAAAGTGCCGATTGACTTGATTTCCACTTCAGAAACTCAAGGGCGCGTCTTCAATCAACTCTGCAACTCAGAGGTGACGTTAAATTAAAACAAAGACTATCAAATCCATGTCTTCATCACAACCAAATTAGGCAAGAGTTAGTTAGCGCTAGTGGCTCTCGAGTCAATTGCAATTTCAATAATGTTCTACTTTATTTGGTCTATAAGCTATTTCCTTTTTAAACCAGGAAGCCATTAAGGAGAGTGTTCTTTCGCTCTTGCTAGATAAATAAAAACTTGAGACACGATGTCAATGGATTGGCAATTTAAACTTTGCCGGAAGTTGCATCACATAGCTGGCTTGCAATACAATACAATACTGCTCTTTTGCACCGGAAATGGAAAGCAATATCAAATGAGGTAGCTTCATTTTGGGTCGTGACCTGTGCTGTTGATCACAAGCTTTACTTTCGGTTGTCACGTCGTTTCGTTCTATCGCCATTTGCGTAGGCTTGACGAATGGTTTCCCGTATATTCTATATTCCATATCCACTTCAGACTTCACGCAGAAACTCCAAGTATATGATAAGATGATATGATATCCATAGCGAAGACGAATACATTTTAACCTTGTAACTGGGAAATAGTGTTTGACCATGCTGGGCTAGCTCTAATTGGATGAAGCCTCACGTGAATTTTAACTTTTAGCCTCGTAATCTATAAATAATTTTGGAATGTAAGTGGCGTCTACCGTATCCGGCTTTCTTTTTCTTGTGAGCCGCCACAGAGTTTGGCAGGACATGAAAAGGTTTTACCAAAAATCAATGCGTCCACTGTTCTTAGCGCAAGAAAGGGTAAAACAAAATTATGTAACACTGAATTTGCCATTGATGTGACCCACAAAATGAAAGTTGAAGACATTATTGTTATATTTTTATAAAAAAAATTATAAAAAATAACTTTTATTGATAAAAATATTAAAAATAATTATTAAAATAAATTTAATTATTTTTAATCATAACTTGATAAAAATATCTTTAAATTTTTTTTTAATAAATTAAATCGTTCATCATAATTTCTTTTCACTTGTGCTTCCGATTTATTTCTCTCACCATCCCACACTCTAATTTTATCGATTTCTCTCTTTAACATTCGTCTGTTATGTTCTTGATTTCTCTCTCGCGCTTTTAGATTTTTCTTTTCTACATTCTCAAGACACCAATCGATAGTTTTAATGTTCTTGGGTGGGTGCTTATTTGAAAATTTTAATTTTTAGGTATTTTGAATAAAACTAAAATAGTAAAAATGATTATAGATGTTTGAAATTACTTTTAACTGGATCAATTCAGGACTTAGACACCAATATATTTAAAAATTTAAAATTTATAAACTTAGATTTTTAACAGAAATTTTTTTGATTTTTAATCGAAATAAATATTTTTAATAAGAAAATTTATGTTCTGAATTATGAAAACATGTTAAAAACACTTTAATGAGTGCCAAATTACTAAAAAAATAAAATAAAATGAAGAGAGTTGAAAAGATTTGAAGTTTTGGTTCATAAGTAACAACAACATTTTAGGCATTAAAGTGTAATTAAATGTTTTTGAATATGGTGTGTAATAACAATATTTTTTCAACATGGAGTGTAATAATTATTTTTCTTTTTCAGCATGGCATGTAACAAACTTTTTTAACTATGGTGTGTAACATGTTTTTGTATATGGCGTGTAACAACCGTATTATTTTTAACATGATATGTAACAACTTAACCATGGAGTGTAACATATTTTTATATATGACGTGTAATAATAATATTTTTTTATACATGACATGTAACAATCTTATAATGGCGTGTAACATGTTTTTATACATGGTGTGTAACAAAGTGTAATATCATAACGTGTAATTTCATTAAAAGTAATTTTGTCCAACTTGACTAAATATAGTTAAAATTATAAAGAGGGTTATTTTTTTAAAATATTTTATTTTTAAAAGCTATTTTTAAAAATGCCACATTGAAAGAATGAACTTAGACAAAAGCGGTTAGAATCCTGACGATTCTTTCTCCTTGGCAGAGCCTCCGTTTAACACGTTCAAAATAAATTTGCTATAAATCTTAAGATAACTTATTCTATGATTATATATTTAATTAAATCTCTCATCTTTTATTACATTCAAATAGTTATGTTAATTTTCATATGATTGCATTAGCTATCATGTGAACACATCAATTGTCAAGTGATCATGCTATTTGGTTAAATCATATACCATATAGATAAAAAATACCAACTAATATAAAGTTTAACAATGGTTAAATTTTCATTAAGGTTAGAGACTTTTTTAAATCTAAATCAAAATTTAAAAACTCGTTTGAATACAACAAAAAAATAAAAATTTACTTAAAATAATAATCATAGTACAAGAACTTTTTAAAGGTTTAAGCCAGCAACTTTATCAACAATTAAACATATTTTCATTCAAAGCCGTTGTAGGATTTGTCAAGTGCATGCCCACAATATCAGTTTAGTTCGAAGGATACTAAACAAATGGCTATTTTAACTCTATTTAGCTTCATTAGTTCTGATAATTTTTTGCTTTTTTTTTTTTTTAATTTGAGGAATCATGAGTTTTTAAGATCCCGTCCAAAGAGAAAAAAACAAAATTGGAAAAGCACAATCGATGGGGCACGACACTGGTCAAAACTTGATTTTGTAAAATTAGATGGATGAATGGTGTATCATGGTGAAAGAATCCATGACGCGACGCTTGTGGCCAGTTTCTTCTTTAATTTTAATCGCTATTTTTATTATTATAGTGGTAAACACATGAATCATGCATGCTTCTTTGATCTACATCTGTAATGCGTGTGAAAGAATAAAAAGCTTCTTGAATCTTGAGGATCAGTTTGAGTTCTTCATCGTGACGGTGACACTTGATTTTTATGTTTTCGTGTCGAGAAAATTCTATATTATTCTTTCTCATGCATGGAAACGAAAAGACGTTCAATTTTGAAATCCTTATCTTCTCTACAACACTCTACAAGAAAAATCCAAAGTAAATAATAGAGTTTAGGACAGTTCGTGGTGAGATAAGTCCCAATGATCCAGTAGACCCAATTTTTGCTCCAATAATATTGCTTCCACTTTTTGTTGAATTTGATCATATAGTTTTTAGGTGGTGACTTCTTTCCTTTTTGTCTGTAAGCAAAAGTAATTACAATGAAATAATTCAGTTGTTGTAGGCAAGGAAAAAACGATAATTAATTATTAATTAAAAAACGATAATGAATGTCGTAGTAATGGCTACTTTCTTACACTTGATTGCCAACTCCCCACTAAATTATAGGTAGATTCATTCACTCGTGACTTGCTTGAACCTAGTTTTCACCTACTGCCCATGTTAATGATTGCCACTGTTAAATATCTAGTCACATTATTTATGTAATCATATCATGGCTAAAAGCGTTTTATAAAAATAGTTGAAAGTTGAATTCTGATGGTGTCGTTTCACATCACTGATTTTTTTATTTATTTAGATTTTTCAAAACCAAAAATAAAATTTTCAAACTTATTAGAAGCAGAACTTCTTACGTTCTTTGTTTTCGAAAATAATGTTTTCACTTCTGATACCATTCAATTATAGGTGAGTAGTGTTCATATGTAAAAAATAATATTCATGGTTTTGTTTTATAATAAAAAATCTTAACTAATTAATTAATTAAATGATTTAAAAGAATATTAAATCTAATATAAAATGGTAAAGAATTAAAATTTTTTAAGTAAATAGTAAATACTTCAAAATCATCAAGTGGCAAAAGAAATAACTAATGGATATAATTTCAAAAACTATAATTTATTAATACTATAAAATGTTTGATGTTCAATAACAATTTAATGTTATTTACGATGATATAGTTCATTAATACTATATAATTAAATATTTTTTATGAATATGATTTAATAATTTCATAATTATTGATAATTTCATAATATATTGATATTGATAGTTTAGTAATTTATAATAGTATAATTTATTAATATTATCTAAAATTATATAATTTTTTATTAGAAAGACATAAAACTAGAACAATTTCATCAAAATAGCATGAGGGAATGAAATTCCAACAACATTGATTAATAAGATTTATGCACTATCCCTAGGAGGACCCTTAAGAAGCATTGTGCCAATAAGATATTGAAAAGTCATATTTACAAGAAAATCCGCCAAACGATTAAATTCGTAATACACATGAATGATCCTAACCTGCCATTCCTTCTTCAAAAGGTCTTTAACGACCAAAGTCAAATTTGAATTATCATTTAGTTCATCTACTTCTACTTGACTAACTTGAGCAGCGGTTTTGTTATCCATAGCAAAAATCACCTAATAGCATCCCTCATCCCAAGTCAACAACTATCCCCAATAAACACCCCATAATTCTACTCGATATGAAAAGTAGTTTGGAAGGTTGATCAAGAACCCACAT